GTAATTTGGGAATTTAAAACTTTTGAGCAAGGCACCAGAGGATCATAATTGTTTAAACATTATCTTTCCTGTTTCAGTCCTGAAAACAGACTGTTTATTAAGTCAATTATTTGTATCATTAATTTATATAAACCTGTGTCAGTATCAGCTGTTAAAATGTTAATCTGGTTTGAACTAAATTTTTTAGAAACATCTTAATTACCTATATAAATGTATTAATTAGCACTCTCTTATTCTGTGTTTACAGTGTTAAATACAAACATATTTAGTCACAAGAGTTTTTGTTTTATCTACTTGTTGTCTCTTGACTCTTCAAGGTGACAGGTTTGAATAAATGGACAGAAAAAAAAGAACCTCTCAAACGTCTTAGTTAAACATACCTTATTACTTTGATATATATCAAAGCCTACTTCTTTAAAAACTAAGTTTAAAAAGTTAAACTTTAAAAAGTTATTCACTTCACTGGTGATTCACTTTATTGGGTCTTTCAAATGGTTAAGAAGGCTTTTTGAGCACCAGGCTCAAAAACTAATGATTGTGGCATTTGCCAATTACTGATTGCTTTGTATGCTAATTAAGCATCTTTGTGGCCTCTCTGAAAGCTGACCATTCTGAAATGTATGTATCTTGGACTGAAGTCCAGGCTCATGAGGAGTTCATCCAGTGATAAAGTATTCAGTAAAATGGACAGGGAGGCATGGCTTTTCAAAAATATTAATGGTTCTGATTTTTAAAAGTGGGCACCTAGAAGCTGTCAAAATAGGGCACTTTTAGGTTCATAAATATGGGCTCTGGGGGCTTTAACTTGAGACACCTATTTAAAAAAAATCTTGGACATACATAATTTTGAAAAAGGCTTTCTAGATGTATATTCAGTGTATGTTAGGTACTGCATGTGGTGCAAACTGTATGAAATCATACCAGGTCTCTTCCATCTTGAAGATACTTGGTTTTAAGATTTTCCCTCTATGCCCTACAGTGCATCCTCTTTGCTGTTTTTGTCTAGGTTTAAATTACTATAATGATGGAACTTTAACTTTTTCCACCGAGAAACTATTCTACTGGCTAATAGACTTCTGTCAAAAACCTTCCTCGTATTCAGCTTAAATTTTCAAGATATGGACCTCCTCCGACCATCCTAAATGATTCCTCTCCTCTCCCCACAGTGCTTGTTTCAAAAGGTTCTAGTCTCCCTTCATCCTTCTTTAGCCATCATTTAGGCAAACTCACTCATATATATTGTTCTTCTGATGGTTTCTTATAAATCAAGTCTCTCTAGTCCATTGATCATTGTTGCTTCTCTGAACTCCTTCCAACCTTGTTTGCGCCCTTGAGTTCAGTGTTGTCGGAGATAGTTTGAACAAAAAAATCATGAAAAAGGTATTTGCTTTTCCATCGAAATATTGAGTAGATCTATCACTTGTACAAAATTGGGAGATTGGTTTTCAAAAATATTTTGCAAGAATACCTTTCCTAATGTGTGATTGACTTATGCCAGTTAGCAAGTAGTAATAAGATAAGTATAACAGACCTCCTAGAGACTGAGAAAATTAGAATTTCTTCTGTATATATGAGAGGTTATTGAATAACTGTTCATTTGTAGGTTTCAGAGTAGCAGCCGTGTTAGTCTGTATTCTCAAAAAGAAAAGGAGTACTTGTGATACCTTAGAGACTAACAAATTTATTTGAGCATAAGCTTTCATGAGCTACAGCTCACTTCATCGGATGCATTCAGTGGAAAATACATTACGGAGATTTATATACATAGTATACACAGAGAACATAAAACAATGGGTGTTACCATACACACTGTAACGAGAGTGATCCTGAAGCAAATACTCACCAGCAACCACACCACACAACAGAACCACTAACTCGGGAACCTACCCTTGCAACAAAGCCCGTTGCCAACTGTGTCCACATATCTATTCAAGGGACACCATCATAGGGCCTCATCATATCAGCCACACTATCAGAGGCTCGTTCACCTGCACACCTACCAATGTGATATATGCCATCATGTGCCAGAAATGCCCCTCTGCCATGTACATTGGCCAAACTGGACAGTCTCTACGTAAAAGAATAAATGGACACAAATCAGACGTCAAGAATTATAATATTCAAAAACCAGTCGGAGAACACTTCAATCTCTTTGGTCACTCGATTATAGACCTAAAAGTTGCAATTCTTCAACAAAAAAACTTCAAAAACAGACTCCAATGAGAGACTGCTGAATTGTAATTAATGTGCAAACTGGATACAATTAACTTAAGCTTGAATAGAGACTGGGAGTGGATGGGTCATTACACAAAGTAAAACTATTTCCCCATGTTTATTGTCATTCCCCCCGCCACCACACACACACACTGTTCCTCAGACATTCTTGTCAACTGCTGGAAATGGCCCACCTTGATTATCACTACAAAAGGTTCCCCCCGCTCCCCTGCTGGTAATAGCTCACCTTACCTGATCACTCTCATTACAGTGTGTATGGTAACACCCATTGTTTCATGTTCTCTATATATATAAATCTCCCCAATGTATTTTCCACTGAATGCATCCGATGAAGTGAGCTGTAGCTCACGAAAGCTTATGCTCAAATAAACTTGTTAGTCTCTAAGGTGCCACAAGTACTCCTTTTCTTTTTGTTCATTTGTAGCTGTTTACAAACTTTCTGATGATTTTTGAAATGTTAACTATCTGTAACTATTGCTTACTTTCTTTGGCAATGCACGCTTCCCAAGAGGAGGTTGAGAGTTGTAATCATTCTTAGTACCACATGAGATAGTTTGCATCTCTTGGTAAACGGTTAAAACAGCCACATTGACAATGGACACTGGACAATGCTTTCATTTTTTATTCCAAACAAAATGTTTGAGTAAAATTCTAAATTTGCATGGGCCCTGATTTTGTATAGACTTACTCTGTTCTTACAGCCAAAGGTGTGAAAAAGGTCTGTCACGGTGCCTGGAGTGGCTCACAGCTAAGAGTGCCAAACTCCGGTCAGATATCAGAAATCAGGGCAGACACCCCAGACTGATGGCATATTGTATCATTAGATTTCACCTACTCAGTAACAAAAGTGTACTCCTGGATCACTATATTAGTTTTACCATGGAGCCACAGACAGTCCCCTTTAGGCTCTCTGGAGCCTACTTTACCACCCAGACAGACTGGACTTAATGATGAAAGGTTATTAAAACCAAAATTCACCTCTTTAGATTACTTCCAGCACCAAAGGGACAGTCACTTACCCACAATATGCTCAAGATCTCACCAAAGACAACGCTGTAGCCAATCCTTCAGTAAACTAAAATTAAAGATTTATTAATTAGGAAAAACTAATGAGTTATAGCAAGATTAAAGCAGATAAAATACATTACAGGTGAATTAGGGTTTGTAGGTTCGAAATAAAAGCAGTGATGTAGCAATCTGCCAGTCTGAGTCTTTTCATAAATTCTCTCAGGGTTTTCCCAAAGTGGATATGGGAAACTCTGTCTTGTATCTGGACAGCTCCCTGACAACATCCTAAAAGATCAAGAGATGGCAGGATCATTCCCAAAGTCCAATATTTATAGTTGAAAACAGCCTGCCAACTGTTTTTAGCATAGCATGTGTCCATAGATTTCACTTTGTTGAGCACACAACGCCCTACGCTTTGAAGTCAGTGTTCCTCCTTGCTGAGCATCTTTAGACAAATGAATTCACAACTAAACACTAACACACATTGTTCCAGGGTTAATTAAATATAGAATTAAATATAGAGACAGCAATCACAGGTAAACTTAGTGTAAATAATTTACGGAACACGTGCCATGTGTGAGTACATCTTCCTTTGTTCTATTCTAACAAGTGGATACAATAGCATTAATATTTCTTCTGATCTAGGGTTATTTACTATAAGGCATGCATAATAACAAATAAGCAACAGGATATAGTCAAATTTAACAATTCAGTTGCACTTTATACGTTGATTGGTTTGCAAATTACAGTGCCTCTTCACATTCCTCTGAAGTTCACAGACAGGTGAACCGCCTATTGTTTTGAATCTAAGCTGATTTCCCTGTGTCACAAGATGTTTATAGGTTATGGGCCATACATATTTTTCAAACCTGGAACTGGTCAGCCTAGTTCTTTAGTAATCTTGGAAGGAAAGTCACTTGGGTAATAATCAAGATAAGGTAATCACTGCATTTTAGTACAAAGAAAAGTAAATTACTAAATGGACTCTTGAGCTTCTGAAATATACTTTTAAAATTAGAATCGTAGCACTAAACTTTGGAGCTTTTTCAGAGTGAATAGCATTAATTATATACATGGAGTTTAACCACATTCGGACCACCTGTTAGAGAATTTACTTTACAATAGCTTAAAACCATTTTGTTGGTCAGTGATTTCAAGTGGGATCTAAATCTTCTGTTTCATACTGTGGATTGTGAGGCTTATCTTCCTCCCAGGAATCACAAAGCTATATAGTTAAAACCATGCTCTCTACGGAGAGAGAGTGAGCAATCCGTGGAAGAACTAAAAGCTGTATAAAATCTACTTTAAGAGTATTTTCATTTAGTGAATATACGGTTGTGCAATAGATTATCACTAATCCCCAGAGTTTTCTTTAAAATTACCATCTGATATCTGTTTAATGGCCTATATAAAATAAGTCCTGTCTCAATTCAGTTACCCATGAGCAAATGTCCATATGACACAACCTCAAGTGGTTCACAGACTGGAAACATGGGCAAAGATGCCAATAACTGAATGGATCTTGGAGACTTTCAGCTCAGACAAACATAATTTGGAATTGAGATAATCCAAAATCTGAATGCCTTAGCGTCTACAATGAAGGGCACTAAAGAAGATACTTGGCTAAAACTTTGAAGTGTGGTTCAATTAATATCTGCTGATTGATTTTTGAAGGCGAACATCAACACTTTTTTTTACTGTTTTAAATGTAATAGTAGAAAATAAAATTACACATTTGCATTTTTTGCCTAATACAGGTAAACTGTTTCACATCGATTTTGGTTACATTCTGGGTCGTGACCCTAAGCCTCTGCCTCCCCCAATGAAGCTAAATAAGGAAATGGTGGAAGGTATGGGAGGCACTCAGAGTGAGCAGTACCAGGAGTTCCGCAAACAGTGTTACACAGCCTTTCTACATCTCCGCAGGTAGCAACCCTATTTGTGTTAACAATTGCTTGATCAACAGTGGGGGGGAGGTGCTTTTTCTCCCCCAAAAACCATGAGAACTTATATATACCCCTGTTGATGTCCACGGTGCTATAAAGAAGAGAGACTGAGAGATGGGAATTCTTGAGTTCTAATCACGCTTTTGGCACTGACTACCCTTCAGTAGCATTTATCATTATAAAGTATCTTCTGTCCAAAGAGCTCAAATTACTTTACAAACATTAATTTAGGTTTGCAACACTCCTGCAAGGTGGTAAATGATTGATAACGTATTCAGGAGATGTGGTGTTCTGTTGCTAAGCAAATCTTGGAATGTTTTCTAGTTAGGCAAATTGGTGTCTCAGGTTATCATTGATGAAATACAGAGCCTTTCAATTCTTGACTACTGCCCCCAAATTCAGATTAGTCACAGCCAAACACATGTATCCTCTGTTGGCTGGTCAGTGGCCTACGTGAGTTGACTTGGGAAATCTTAGTCCTGTTCCTGGAGAATAAGTATTCACTTCTCAGAATCCACTATTAAATGTTGGCAATAGTAGAATCTTCACAAAGATTTGAACAGGCATAGAGACTAAACTACCACACTACCCCCTTACCACAAGAATGCCCTCTTTCAGAGTTCAGGCACAGGATTGGAGAAGCTTGCATTGCCATTGTCTGTCTTGGGGACAAATAAGACTTTCGTTCTCCATTGCTAAGCACCTTTTACCATGTCCTACAAAATTCATTTAAAATATGTTGCCTTGTTTGTCCTTTGGGTGGCAGAATGGCTCAGCTTTGCCCTCCAGTCCTGTTACAACAGTGAGCAGGTGAACAGTTTCTCTATTTGCTAAGTGATTCAGGAAGTCTTCCATGGAGATATACAAATTACACTTTAATATCTGGATTGTCTAGTTTAAAATACTCCAAAGCCTGGAAAAAAGTATATTGAACAATGGTGATCTTAGAAAGGAGACAGACAAGATAATGTGAAATAATTGCTGAAGAAATGTAAAACGTATTCCGTCTTATTGAAAGGAGAAAAAAAGTAACTGCCTTTATAAACTGTCATTTGTAATGGATTAGCAGCAATTCAACACAATGAGAAAACAAAGACAAGTTATTAATCAGCAGCCACGATAACGACCATCACACCAGAGAATAATCATGAAGGGATTAATCTGTGTACTCTGCAAGCAGAGTATAAGTCAAAATTGTTTGAGGACTGAAGTTATTATACAAAATTACTCATTTCCTATGTTTCCATAGATGCTTTAAAGAGATGTAAGTTGATGTTCACTATTTCAATGGGAAAAGCTTTTAAATTTCTGCAAGATTATCCATTGAATTAACTAGGTAACACAGTGATTGGCATCAGAGGACATACTTAGTAGCATGGTGTGCATTGATCCAGTAATTTTTAATATAAAATTAACATTTTAAAATATTAGTTGAAATCCCTAGGATTGTAGTTGTATTTGAAGATCATTCATTTCTTCGGTATACATACAGTTTAATGTGAAAGTATTTGTATTATACAAATACAAAATATTAACTTACTGTTCTAGGTAAATCTGTCATGTTCACAGAAGTTCTTAAGCTCCTGATGTGAAAGGCATAAGGACTTTACTATATGAATCTTAATAGCACATTCTGAGCATCTGTGGCTCAAAATAATGGTTAGCAGGAATGTGTACTTATAGAGCAGGCTAATGGATTAGAGAATGGAGGACTAGGCTGTTGTCATTGTGTATGCTGGCATAAAAATCTATTTGATAAACTGACCGTTGTATAAATTAATCAGGTTATTTAACCTATTTTTTGCTTTTTAACCAATTGTTAAGAGTGAAGCAAATTTTGTATTGCACGTCTAATTTTCATTCCCATTCACACCAAACTTCACCAAAAGAAAAACAAAGTCCCTGAAATGTCACATGCTGGGGAAAAAAAAACAGACATCATAGTGCTGTTATATTTATAAAATATATTAATTGATTAATATTATTGTATTTTATTAATAAAAATTCCTGTCCATTACTTTTTTCAAAATTTCCTAATATTTCTGTGGCTTATCTCTTGGCTTATGATGTCCAGTTTCATTTTGTTGGTCATGCTGAGAAGTGCCTTTCAGGTGTTTTGTTTTGTCTTGTTTGTCTGTAGTAATTGTGTTTTGTTTCAGATTATTTATGGGGCAATTAGATTTGTATTCACCCTTTCATAAATTTATTATTCTAAAGTAGATTGGAAATGGTAAACTAGGGACTCAGAGCCAGGGACATAGGCCATGACTCAGCAAGGTACTTAAGCACATAGTTAAGTATCTGGTGAATCAGGGCCTTAATGGTGAACCATGGAAACTCCATGACTCAGCCACAAGAAGCAAGGAGTAATGTAAGAGAGAGCAGTTTTGCTGCTCATATAGAAAAAAAGTCTAGTTAGCATTCATTGGCAGTGATGAAGAGAATAGTTTAGAAAAACTCAATAGAGATTCCGAGGTTACATATCTACTGACCTGCAATATGAGTGTTTGAGAAAACCTCAATATCTTTCATGAAAATGTGTTTTGCTTTGTTTTTGTTTTGTTTTAATTGATTGAGGCTTTCTGAGTAAAGAGTCTGACATAAATTTAGACTTTTTTTTCTCCTGAACATGAATTCAGGACCAGTGCCTGTAAAGTGCTTGTACTGGTCCTGAAAGTGTTTTCATTGATCCACATAAGTGTGATTAGGCCTGATAAGTTGTGAGAAATCCAAATTTAAAATTGAGTCAGCCTGGATGGAATTTATAATTTCTTTCTAACTCAACGGTGATGGGGGTGTGATTTTTTTTTTTTTTTTTAAGCAGCCAAATTATCTCTTATATTTAGAGCCAATGATTTGTGCTTCATAGATTGAAAGCTTGGAAACAGTTTCAAAGATTTTGTTTGGAATGCTAGTGTTGCTGAATGCTAATCATAGCAAGTGAGGCAGAAGAATGGAGAAAAAAAATATAAGATGGTAATTGTAATGGTGCGGGGTTCACTTAATGACTCAGCTTGCCAGGAGTAGGAACAAATAGTGTACGTAGTTCAAAAGTTGTAAATGACGCTGGTGATTTTTAAGATACTGGACTTTTAAAATTGTTACTGATTCCTTTTTGGTTTCAGGGAAATCAGACCTCAGGCCAATGTGATCCCTCTGTGAACTCATCCTTGGTTTTTGTAGGAGTTGAAGGCCAAGAAAATCAGGGCTTTAAATGCATAATGATAGAGATTCTCACATTTTTCAGCCCTATCCCCATATTGTTAGGAACATGTGCCTTGAAGTTAGCTTATGGAGTACTGCATTCTTGCATGGTTTATTGAAGAGCCTAAGGCTCAACTAGTTTTGGACTCCAGTCAGGAAAGAAGCCTGTAATAAATAATACGATTAAAATTGAGGTACGTTTAGAATGTAATGTTAACAATTTGATTTGATCTGAAATGCTTGTAAGAGCACAGCAGAAATAACATGAGCCTGTGTCTTTAGGAAAGCTGACGTTGAAGGAATCTGAAATTGTCTAAGGAGTTTTTATAGTGTTTTTATGATGTATTTGAAATCAAGTGCATAGAAGTGGGAAATATAGAAACAGTTGGAAGGGCTGCAGTTGAAATGCATGCCAGTAAAATCCAAATAGACAGAAGGGCAAAACAGTCTAGTTTGCCTGAGCAAGGGCACAGAGCAGCAGAAAGCTTGTAGCTTTTAAAGTATAAACAATCTGGTTCGGAAAAATAAAACATGTTAAGGATAGTTGAAGAAACCAAAAAAAAAAGTGTCAAATTTTAGATTATATTTCAACTAATTCGGAAGGGTTATTTAAATATTTATGGTAGAAAGAAGGCAAGACCATTTTTTTCTGTAAAAACCACTTAAAATATGAAAATGTGAGGTTCGTTAAAGAATCTTGCTTCTGCCTATAAAAGAGAGTGAGAGTTTGTAGAATACTTTTTAGGTATTAGTATGCAGATAACAATGGTCTTGGGGCTCATGCAGCTCTCTGAAACTTCGGATATTAATGAGGTAAACTGTCCAATCCATATAATATACATTTCACAAATTTTAAAAGTACATAAATATTAAAAATAAAATATGATATTTTTAGATGGCATTCCATGATTGGTTGGATTCCTGAGAACAGAGAACTGGCAAAAATAACAGCAGTGTACAGAAAAGGGTTTTGAAATGCAATTGCTGAATATTTTGGTTTTAGGGCTAGATTCACAAAAGGGGATTTTGCATTGGACAAATTGCAATGCTTAGCTGGAGTATGCTCAGTACAGAACCTGCAGAGAATTGAGTGCCAAACTCTAATGGGCATCTGCTGAGTATGTGGGAACTGAGATGATTCAAAGGCTTACAACTTGGACAAATATGGGCACGTTTTTATGGGGATTACAAAAGAGACATCCCTAACACCCAGGCAACTGCTCTGCTGAATATTGTGGCCCGGCTTTAAAAAGGGAATAGAGCAATAGAGCGTCTCAGCATAACGATTGTTAGATTTTTTTTTTTTTTAAGATATCCAAAACTTATCTTTCCCTAATGTTGTTTTAACAGTTTACAAGAAATCCCGCTTCCTCCTCTGCCCCCTGCCAAAAAAAAACCCAGCTTGAGGCAGACGCTGAGCATTGAAAACTTCAGCCTGAATGATTAAACTTGGCAAAGTTCAGTAATTTATAAAATAGGTCTCATAATGGAAAGTGTCAGGCAACCTAAACTGTAGGCAGTGATTATCAGCTCTGCATATAATCAAACTACTTAGGTTTGCACACAATGAAAACGTAAAAAATTTGATCCATAAGAGGGTACTGTTAGTTCGTAAAAAGAAATATGGTTTTATGATCTGATTGTTTTCTTTGGAGATTAATCCTGTCTTTTCTTCTTTTGTATGATACTAAAATGACAATTTACACAGTAATACATATGATTGTTGTCTTGTTTGTATTCAGAAGCTGTGCTAAAATTATTTTGCTGTTTTGAATTTCCTTTCCATCACCATCACCTTCTAAGCTCCTAAAATGCTTTTATAAAAGGCATCTTCCAAAAGGTGGGAAAAATAGTTCTGTGGCTAGAGTAAAGAAGGTTCCAGTTTGTTGAACAGCTTGAAAATTATTCTCTGAAACAGTGACTTGCAGTTAATTTCCTGCAATGGCAAAATGGTGGTCTTTAAAAAAAAAATTCATGAGTACTTCCAACCACAGCATGTTAAACTGGAACTTTGACAGGGCTGCTTCTTTTTAATGGTGATAAATTACCTTTTGTGTTTCAGATGTGCAGCATACTTACGCAAGTTATTACAGATTCACTGAGCAGCTGCAGCCTTAACTCCGGTTAAACCAAGTGGTTAAGGGACATACTCATCCTATTTAGACAACCTCCCATACGACATCTTTAAAAATCTTTTTTAATTTAAAGACTTCAATTTTTAAGACTGTTAATTTAAGTAGATATCACTGTTGCATGGAATGTCCCTGTTTTAAAGAATACACTTTGGGGTCCCTTTAATCTAGCGTACTTCTGTATGTCAGGTGGAATAGAAAGGTACAAAAGAGATTAATGTTCTTGACTCCAGAAATATTTGCTGCTATAATCTGTATTACATAGATCTTCAGTTTTATATTCCTCAATGTTTTTAGATGTTTAAAAGGAAAAAAATATTGAGCATATCTGTGCTCTAGCTTTTGAGATACAAAAGTTAGTTTTCAGTACAGAGCAAACTGCAGGGCCATTGCATTCATAACAAGAATACATACCCAACTAATATGTTATGTACAAATCATCTCTTTTGAGCATTACCAACTCACATTGCCTGTGTTGGAGGTGGTGTGTGAGAAATATTTTAGATAAGGGAAAAGACTAATACAGGAGACTGTTGTCCACAAAATGTTCCTTACTTATTCTGCTCTTCTCGTTAGGTATTCCAACTTGATCTTGAACTTGTTTTCCCTCATGGTGGATGCAAACATTCCAGATATTGCTCTTGAACCTGACAAGACTGTGAAAAAGGTAACCACAAAACTTTATTTATTAGATAGAGTAAACAGATTGTGTACTTCATAATGTTTTTAAGTAGTTCAGAAAGGGCAATTTACATGTAATTATGACCTCTGGACTACTCATTGCCAAGATAATGGATCTCAGGCAATTCATAGAATCACTGAAGTTAGAGATGGAAAATACCTATTGAGTGCATTCACCTGCAAGCACAAGAATATTCGCTATTGTACAAATATTAGTCCATAATCCAGTCTACTGTCCCAAATAATGGGGTTCTACCATTTAGAGGGACTAGTGTAGTTTAACTAAGATGTATAAATAGATGGAGTTTCAACACCTCGTGCATACAATCTGTTATGTTCATAAGAATGTAGGAATTGCCATACTGGATAAGAACTGTGGTCCATCTAGTCTAGTAGCCAGTGTGACAGTGGCAAATACCAGATGTTTCTGAGAAAGATGCAGGAAACCTCTTGTTCGTTAAATGTGAGAGAAACTACTGCCCCATGAAGGTCTCCTCTTAATCCCCAGTAGCCATGTTAAATAATGACACTAGATATTTTCCACCCTTGTAATGTCCATTGATTATCACAAGTTCTTTCCCAAGGTAGGCTACACAAGATTCTCTCAGAAACTCTTCTCTTTCTTTAAGGGATTGATGTAATTTGTGATAGAGTTGTATAGATTCAGTTATAACTTTACAAAGAAACTAGATAATTATACTGCATAAAATGGCTAGACAGCACAAACCTATCGAGATAACCCATGTACCCAACATAGTAGAGATAATTAATCTCATTTCATACTTACACTCTAAAAGAAAAGACTTATACAGGGATGAAGAATCAGTAAGTGGAGCAGCACACAGAAGTCCGTGGATCAGTTGATACCAATTAAGAGCCCAGAGGAACTTAAAAATAGGGAACTAGACAGGATATTTTATACCCGATATTTAGGTAACTTTTCAGATGCATAACAATATTTGACCACTTTTGGTGACCATGACAAAATTGTCTCCCTTCCATTATCCATATGTGGCCTTCTGAGTGTCATAACCATTCCTATAGTCATTAATATTAATAAACTACAAGACACATTTCTTAATTCCTATATATAAATGTGCTCTAACTTCTGCTTACTGCATAGAAACCCAATTACTAAAGCCCCCTCCCACTCACCCTTCTTGTGGAATCCTGTGGTATACTGTACTCATTTGTGGTCACTTGTTTGTCTCTCAGAATGAGTGTATAGCGTTTGACCTTTGGATATCTCTTTAGGCCTATTATATTCCTATTAAAATCAATTTTTAGCATAACTAATACCATAAGGCTTCACACTAATACAATAGGCCCCTAATCGTAGCAAGTATAATAATCCAGTTACTTAAGTTCACCTACTTGCCATTAGGCGTGTTCCAAGCTAATAAGCGATCCACACTGGTCAATATTATACTGCTATAGTGTCATCCTGCATCTAGCGAGCTTAAGGTTAGTTAGGAAGCATAAGAAACAGTCAGAGGTCAACACCCCACTAGTTAAATTGGTTTAATCTCTGAAGCATGAGGTTTTTTTAAAAATAAGTTACATTAACTGTTCTACCTTGGAGTATTCTTATTCATATAAATGTTAGTCTGGGGGGGTCACAAGGTTATTTTAGGGGCCGGGGGGGGGTCACAGTATTGTCACCCTTACTTCTGCACTGCCTTCAGAACTGGGAGGCCAGAGATCAGCGGCTGTTGGCCGGGTGCCCAGCTCTGAAGGCAGCGCCCCGCCAGCAGCACCACAGAAGTAAGTGTGGCAAAACCATATCATGCCACCATTACTTCTGCACTGCTTCCTTCAGAGCTGGGTGGCCAGAGAGTGGCGGCTGCTGACTGAGGGCCCAGCTCTTCAGCAGCAGCGCAGAAGTAAGGGTGTCAATCCCACACCAGGCCATCCTTACTTCTGCGCTGCTGCTGGCAGAGGCTCCGGCTTCTGAGCTGGGCTCCCGGCCAGCCGCTGCCACTCTCCAGCCGCCCAGCTCTGAAGGCAGCACCGCTGCCAGCAGCAGCGCAGACGTAAGGGTAGCAGTACTGCAACCCCCCTACAATAACCTTGCGACCCTTCCACAACTCCTTTTGGGGTCAGGACCCCTCCATTACAACACAGTGAAATTCAGATTTAAATAGCTAAATCATGAAATTTACGATTTTTAAAATCCTATGACCGTGAAATTGACCAAAATGGACTGTGAATTTGGTAGAGCACTAATTATGTTACAGTGGTAGTGTTGGTAAATGTTGGCTTTTTGATAACCTCCACTGTAAATCAAGGTATCTGTTGTCTTAGTTCTATGCAAGACTTTAGGGGGTATATATGCAATAAAGAGAATGTTAAAAGGGACTTATATTCCATATTTGTCATCATCAACAGTAGTTTTCTATCAACACAGTAGTCTGTTGAGAGTTCTCCATAATGCAGAGAGAGTCAGAATTTTATTTTTAATGGACACTTTTTCATGTTTTAATATAACCAATGTTATCCAAAGAATTTTTTGAAGTAGAATAAAGTTCACTGCATCATTAAAGGAAAAGGTTTTTTTTTTTTTTAAATGAAGTCACTGGACTTGCGGGATCCAAGAGGTTTGTGTTCTAATGCCACTTCTGCTGCAGGCTTCTTCTGTAACACCAGAGAATTTGCTCAATCTCTTTTCAGTAGGGATGCTCAAAAAAGCACAGTTCTGTTTCACAAAAAAAAAAAAAAAAAATCAAGGTTTCAGAACTTTTTTCTTCCATATCAGCAAGAAAGAGACCTTTTGAAATATGGTGTGGGGGAAAAAAAGCCCCTTACCGCAGAATAGCTGGTAGCCAGATGGTCTGAATTGGGCAGAGCAGGGACTTGAACTTTAGGTCTCCAACATCCCAAGTGAATTCCCTCTGACTGGGCTGTATAAAGTCAGATTCTGGTTCCAAGAACCTATGGGTTTCTGGTGCAAGGTTTTTGGGTATTTTTGTCATTGACTGAAACAATCAAGCAATATAATTGGCAGTCGTACCAAATTTCAAAAGTCTTGGTCCTTTTCTCATCTGTAGCCTTTAGGTTCTGACATACCACTTACTTTAATCTCATTCATCTCCGTCAGGAGTTCACTGTTGCTTGACTTAATAGTATTCATTCTCTCCTTGGACATTCTCTTGTGAGCTTCCTGACATTGCTTTTGTCAAACTGAATCTTCCAGTGTTCTTTGCCAGTTAGGATATAGCATTCTTGCTCCTTATTAATACCTTGGCATCTACATCTTTCATAAGATGCACTGTCCTGGGGTTTCTCCCTCCTTGCTTCCTCTTGCAATAAAATACTAGAACTGAAACAGTACCCGCAACCTGATGATTTAACTGGGAATTGGTCCTGCTTCGAGCAGGGGGTTGGACTAGATGACCTTCTGGGGTCCCTTCCAACCCTGATATTCTATGATTCTATGAACCTATTTAATGAATACTTTAAAAGAAAAGCACATCAGTTCCATCATTTGAAATGCTGCTTTGTTGGGAAGGGAAATACAGTGCTTACAACTATTGGTTAAACAAAAAAAAAAAAAAAAAACCTACGGTAGCAGGGCATATTAAAGTCATCCTGTTTTCTCAGCACAGCAAGATATTCACCAGTTCTGTAAGATGGTCTGGATTCACTCTTGATATTCTCAAAAGAATAACTAAAGTTCCTTTGTTAGATTGAATTTATTTGTTCAATTTTGTTGCTACTTCTTTATTAATCACATTTTTCTTACATGGTTATTTGTTTTTGGTTTTTTTTTCGTCCTTGTATGTCAGCATTCAGGTTTTCAAACAAATTTCTATAGGTTCAAAACACTTTACTGCTTAGAAGCCAAGAGAACCATTCCTTCTCATGGATTTTAATGCTTAAAGTTTGAATTCACTACTAAATTTTGTGCGAGAATTCCATTTCATAAAAGGATCCCATCATCTTTAAGAAAAATTTAAACCTACTTCCTCTCTTCAAGGCAGAAATTGGCTTCATGACCTACCAAAAAATCTATAGTTTTATCCAAAGCTACAGTGACATTGATTTTTGGAGAGATTCTATACTCTGGGTGTGTTGACTTCATTTTTACTTTAAGGGAAAAATAATTATACACTGTTAGCTAAAAGTTTATGAAAAATCAGGTAGGATCAGAAACATTATCGTGGTACCCTGTAGAATGTGTGTAAATCACTGCTAGATTTAAGACAAGATTGTTGTTGTGGAAATACCTGTATTACAATTACTAAACATGCAGTGGCCGGTCTGACATCAGTTATGAGAGTTTTTTAATACTAATAAAAAAGGAACTAGCTGTTTTACCTTTCTTAGATTGAGAGAAAAGTTCGTTCAGAGTCATTTAACAAGATAATACTGTACCTCACTGTAAGAGAATTAAATAGATGTTTTCAGGGTTTTTTTTTGTTTGTTTGTTTGTTTGTTTTTTTTACAGCTTTAAACAAAAAATCCATATATATTTCAAGAAACTCAAATTAGCTAAAGATCCATTTTGGACTGACCTGTAAAATTAAATTACCTTTGGTGTCTGAGTAAAGTCAATAGCCATTTCAGCCATAATTTCACTTTCATGGAAGATTGAGGTGAAGATTTAAAAACATTTTGTTTATCTAACAAATCCCCTCTGCCTCTTAATGCGGATGGAAGTTCACAGCCAGCATTTTCTCATTTCGTACTGAAGTACTCAGATTCTGCTGTTCTCAGTTTTACAATGGCTATACTTTTAATGATGGGCTAGTGATCCATCAGGGCTGCATTCAGACAGGAAAAACATGCTCATCTGCTGAGTTGGCTGAAGTAATGAAGTAAACTCAGCAAGGAAATAATGTTTAGGTTAACCCTCTTTTAAACTTGAAGAGGAAAAAGAATATTTTTTGTAATTATTTTGGTGGTGAAACTATAATGAAATGTGTGTGGGTTAAGGAAAGTAGAAGGCATTTTTTTTTAAAAGCTGATGCTCATTATCCTGAAGCA